CACGACGGCCCCCGGCGCCTGTCTGGCACACGCGTAGCGAGCCGGGGGTAATGCCACCCACCCCCTCAGCGGTTGCAGCCAGTGATGCTCCTCCATCCAAGAAAGACCCACCAACCTCCGGGCTGGGGGCCGTGAAGGTCTCCTATTTTGAGGTGAGGCACTCAAAAAGAACGCAGCGCTCGCAAGGGCGCGTGTCCAACGCCTCGCAAAAGGCAATGGACACAACACTGAGCGTGAGAGCGCAGCCAGCGCCTAAGGATCGGCGTGACTCTGTCAACCGATCCAAAAAAAAAAAATCTCGTGTCACGGCCCCTGGAAAGGGTCCGTGAGCTAACTTTCCATCCTTCAGCTTACAGCACAAAACACATCTAAAATCGACACACAGATCTTACAGTGGAATGTGAGAGGACTTCTCCATAACCTCGATGATATTAGAGAACTTCTTAATAAACATACTCCAAAGGTGCTTTGTGTTCAGGAAACACATCTCAAGTCCACACAAACAAACTTTCTAAAGCATTATGCCATCTTCCGCAAAGACCGTGATGACGCTGCCGCTTCGTCGGACGGTGTCACTATAAAAGTTGATAAAGGTGTTGCCTGCAAGCAATTAATCCTCCGAACTTCTCTTGAGGCAGTTGCTGCCCGAGCAGTGCTGTTCGGGAAGCTACTAACAATTACCTCTATATATATACCTCCGTGCTATCAACTTTCGAAGACACAACTTCAAAGCTTCATTGAAGAACTTCCTCCACCATATATAGTCTTTGGTGATCTAAACGCACGTAATCCCCTATGGGGCGACTTCCGTTTAGATGCACGAGGACGCCCAATAGAACACTTTCTGTTTTCGTCAGGTGCATGTCTAATAAACAAAAAAGAACCAACATATTATAGCACTACACACAACACATACTCCTCTATAGACCTGAGTATTGTCTCGAATAAATTACTTCCACATCTGGAGTGGTTCTTTCTCAAGAACCCCCTTTGGGAGTGACCTCTTCCCGATCATGTTGAAGTTAACAAAAGAAGATAAATGCTTGTCTGACTTTCTTCGTTAGAACACCAAGTCAGCCAACTAGAAGCTGTTCCGAGAAATTACATTTTTAGATGGAGATGACATTGCTAATTTTAATATAGACGATGTTGTAGCATACCTTACAGGTTTTATTATTGACGCTGTAGTGACTTGTAGTAAGCAAACTAACGGAATGACTAATAGGCGTCACATCCCGTGGTGGAACGACGATTGTCGGAAAGCGCGCAATAGACAAAATGAAGATTGGAGATTACTCAGAAATTATTCAACGGCTGAAAACCTCGTCAATTTCAAACAGGTTAAGTCCCAAGCCAGAAGAACGCGTCGTCTTGCAAAGAAAGAAGTTGGAATAGGTACATCTCCGGTATAAATTCTTACGCCGACAAAACGAAGGCGTGGAATAGGGTAAACAAGTTGATGGATCGGGAGTCGCACCTTATATCCTTGGTAAATAGACGAGGGGAGAGCCTGGAGTAGCAGGCGGACTGCCTAGGTTAACACTTTGAATATGTCTCAAGTGCATTACACTATACAGAAACGTTCTTAAGATTCAAAGAACGCAAAGAGCGGCAGCCCCTTAAATGTAGACGTTCATCCAGGGAGACTTACAACTGCCCATTTTCATTTGCTGAACTTAAGGCATCTCTTCGTACTGCAAAACCTCGGTGCCAGGTGGCGATCTTATACTGTACGAAATGATCAAGTACTTTCACCCCGAAGCACTAAAAACGCTCCTAACCCTCTTCAATACCATGTGGGAAGTTGGGTATATTATATTGTCATGGAAAAAAGCGATAGTCATCCTGGTACATAAAGAAGGCAAAGACCAGTCGTTGGACGCCAGCTACAAGCCAATAGCGTTAACAAGCTGTCTATGCAAACTATATGAAAAAATATTAAACTGGCGCTTAATCCACTTTCTAGAAAGTAACAGTATACTAGACCCCCTTCAGTGTGGTTTCAGAGAGGGGAGGTCGACAATAGACCACCTTGTTCGCATAGAGACAAACATCAGAGATGCATTTATTCATAGGCAGTTTGTACTTTCGGTATTCTTAGACTTGGAGAAAGCGTACAATACCACATGGCAATTCGGAATTCTACGCGATCTTGCCACCATGGGGCATCTATGGGAACATGTTAAACACAATTAAAAGCTATCTGACTAATCGAACCTTTCGCGTAAAAGTGGGAAATGCTCTCTCTAAATCAATTACCCAAGAGACTACTGTTCCGCAAGCGGGCGTGTTTAGTTGCACACTCTTCCTTGTAAAAATGAACTCCCTACAGTCAGTAATTCCAAGCGCGATGTTTTAATCCGTGTATGTTGATGATGTGCAGATGAGTTTCAAATCATGCAATATATCTATCTGCAAGCGGCAGGTGCAGCTTGGAATGAATAAATTCTCTAATTGGGCGGATGAGAATGGTTTTAAAATAAACACCCAGAAAAATACCTGCGTACTCTTCTCCAACAAACGAGGTGTAATGCCACTACCAAATATTGCGATCAAGGGAGACCAACTCTCTGTGAGCAGCGAGCATAAATTCCTGGGAACCACTTTAGATTCTAAGCTCACGTTTATTCCCCATATAAATATGTAAAAATGAAATGTCTGAAAGCGATGAACCTCCTAAAGTTCCTATCACGTACAACATGGGGTAGTTATCGGAAGTGTCTCTTGAACTTGTGCAAAAACCTTGTCTGGTCGCGCCTTGATTATGCCTCTATAATTTATCGTTCCGCAACGCCAAGTGCTTTGAACATCTTAGACCCTCTTCACCATCTGGGTATCCGACTTGCAACCGGTGCTTTCAGGACAAGTCCGATCCAGAGTCTATGTAGATTCGAATCAGTGGTAACTTCACCTGCAGTGATCCTATAGCAGTTTCATTTGTTTTATAAAGGTACGCGCAAACATAAAGCATCCTTCTTATTCAGCTATAAAGGATATGACCGCGGCCACCTTATTCCGTAATCGACCAGCAGCGAGAAAGCCGTTCTCTTTGCGTGTGAGAAACTTAAGTGAGGAAAGGGGGGTTCCGCTGCTGGAACTTTGTCCTATGCCCACAGCAAAACATTTACCGCTGTGGCAGTGGGAGCTTATACATTGTGACACCTCATTTGCCCATATCCCTAAACACGCACCAGAAGCACATATTAGAATGCATTTTCGACAACTCTAGTCCTACTACTCATGCGTAGAGTTTTATACCGACGCTTCTAAGTCGCATGCATGGGTGGCTTATGCAGCCGGCGGACCATCCTTTTCAGAATCCGGTGTACTGCACCCGGAAACAAGTATATCTACGGCTGAGGGTTATGCACTATTGTCGGCTGTCAAGCATATACGAAAATCAAACATACAATAATCATTTATATTCAAAGACTCGTTAAGCGTCATAAATGCATTAAGATCCCTCTTTAGATTCAGAAATCCGGTAATAATGGAGCTGTATTCTGTTCTGTGTACAGCGTATATGTCCAACCAGCATGTTACTATTTGCTTGGTACCTGGCCATAGAAGCATCGAGGGCAATGTGTTAGTTGACCAAATGGCCATGTCAATTATATTGCGCGCTATTACCCCTACCGCTACTGTCCCTGCAACGTATCTAAAACCCTTCCTGCTCAAGAAACTGCGATGCCACTGGCAACGCTTGTAGGACACAGAAATAAATAATAAGCTTCACTTGATTAAGCCGCGGTAGAGTTACTGGCCCTCCGCTACAAGAACACGGTGAACTGATGTCCTATTCTGTCACCTCAGAATAGGACACACATATGGTACCCATAGCTTTCTTCTGACTGGCGATGAACCTCCTACTTGTGGCAGATTTGGCAACAGGCTAACTGTCCTCCACGTCCCTTAGAAGTGTCCGGAAGCTGAAATAGAGAGAAAGAAATATTTTGCTTTAGCATATCGCTATCATCTTCGTCTACATCCTACTATGTTTCTCCGCGAAGAGCCGCTTTTCGACGCAAAATCAGTCCTTGGCTTTTAAAAGATGTAGTATGGAATGTTTTAGCCCAACAAGTTCATAGCGCATCCTCTGTCTAGAGGATGCCGCTGTGATAGCAGCTTTCAATGAGCCCAGGCCTCCATGCTCTTGTTTTAAGGGCTCTGCTGAGGCACTGGTGCTCCACGCCAAGTTTTTATTTAATATACGTATCATTTTTAAAGCATTTTATGTCTCCTTAGCACACATCATTTGTCATTGCGATAATTTTACTACATGTATATTTTACGCACCTACAGCGACTGTTTTTAGGCCCATATACAGCCACGTCACATCTGTTTTATCCATACTGAATATCGCACAGTTCATTATCATCAATCTGGCGCTCTTTGGCCACATCTGGCCCTTTTGCCAATAAACTCCACTAATCATCATCAATCAATTAGGGTGGCTACTGTCACGCCATAGACACGCCACGTTTCACTTTTGTTATTTAACCTTGCCAGGCTCGGGCGTATGTTCGTTTTCAATATAAAATTGTGAAACTGTAAAGGTGCAGAGCGCTCGGATGGTGTGTTAAACAGTAGTTAGGATAGCAAATTTTCGCCTAATGTGGCAGGTCACATCATGAAAGAACGCTTTTGAAAAGCGCTTGCTGAAACAGTTTTTTTTTAAAGACAATAGTGAGTTTAACAGTGCCAACCAATTTAAACAAACATTGATAGGCTGTGGGCGATAATATAGAAAAAGCACACAAGCTGTTTCTGAATTAAAGCTCTGAACGTTTCGCACGATACAGGAACGTTCGCATTTTTATGTTAATTTTTGAACATTGTAGGACAAAAAAAAAGGTAGTGAAGGATTCTACTCTGAATCGCACTGATATTTTGTATCACACATATAAAAAATCTCAATATACTCCAAATATAAATTTTTGTCATTTTTACTGTGAATTTGGATATCAAGTATTACTGAAAATGCGCAATATTATTTTCAGTCCGTGGCCAAGGTCCTAAGTTGGGTCCAAGAAGACCACCTGGTCCTGCAAGACCTGGTAGGTATTTGGATTGTGCTGTGCCTGTCAACACACTCCGGAAAACAAACTTCATTAGATGAAGCTTTATTGGAAGCGTTAGGCTAAAAAGTGCGAATGATTTTCGTCATACTCTCGACTGCGATATTCTTATGTATGCTACACGCCTTTTTTGTAGTTCACCGATAAAAAGCGCAGGGTACTTACACTTTTATGTTCTTCTGATACACTTCTAAACGCCCACCTACACTGTAAACACAACTCAACAGTCAAAGGCTCTATACTTATCAGCTTTACCTTGGCTTTGTTGGGACACAGGCTCATCATATTCGCCATCATAGAGAAAATGGTCGTTTGCGGTAAAGTCACTTTACAAAGCAGAACTCTTTACCATTAGTATATGGGAATATGCACAATGCAATAATCCTGTCCTTATAAAATGTCACAGTTTTAGATATTCCTAATGCAACACTCCTGATTAAGTTGAGGTTTTACAATTCGAACAAAAATGCCATGCAGGTCACATTTCAATATTTGCAATTGAGACGCTTTTTTTTAAAACAAAACAGTTAATTATAATCACTGTAATCGCGTGCTCCCAATGAGGACTACTCTTAGTATAAAAACGCTGTAAAATAAAGATTGCACAATATTTTCACAGCAGAGCTAGCAAGCATTTTTATCATTTTAAGTACCTGGACATCCTCAGTACAAACATTTAATATTGTACAGCATATAAATGAGGCAAACCAGCTTCACGGGCACTAAGTAAGCTACAAATCTAAAATTTATCCGCGTGAATTATACAAAGTGTGGCAATTTTAAACAAGGGGATGCTTGCCGGTGGTAAAGAAAGTTAATAATTGTATCTTTGTCAGTCCTTAATGAATGAAGTCTCGGATTCCTCGAACTCTATTGAAATATATTTAAGGCACAATAATGTCCTGTATGCACGTATATTTGTGCAACCACATCGAAGAAACTCTGCTTGTTTGCGGGTGACGTACTTCACAAGATGATTGGTGTAAACAAGTATAGAAAGTACGTGTGGTAATCCTTCCTCTGAAATGCGTCACGAATAGGCCCACCTACATACAAATTACTTTTATCACTGCACGTGCTTTAAAAATACGTATTAGCTTTGCCAAGTATTGCTAAGAATGGTTTCTTAAACGAGTAGGTGGTCTCTAATGTACAGTTGGTAAAGAGCATTCTCGTTACTGTCAAAAGCTACCCTTCAGTAAAAGCAAACAACAATCTCGCCTCTAGGTAATGTTCAATATGTGAGAAATCTCGAAAAGTGCAATATATCAGGACGCTATCCCAATGTCTTCTTACGCCATCTATTTTGACGAAATCTACCGGAACCTGTTTCGTTTTAAAATGAAATATGCCATGATTTGTCATATAAGGTGTCACAATGCACATCATATATGAAAATACTTAGCATAGTGTAATTGTTAGTATGTATAACAAGCCTAACTTTAGATTCCGTTGGAAGACACTTAGTTGAAGAATTTTACAGCGAAAAGTGCATGATATCAGAAGATGGGTCACGCAAGGTGCCATATTTGGGTGCCGCCGCCACCGCCGCCACCAGTGACAGTATCAAGTACCGCAAGAAATAAAAAAATTAGAAATAAACACAGTAGGAACACCATGGGATACTAGCCCAAGTCCGTTGTTGCCAGCTTAGTATTCAACCACTGAGCAACACCGATGCTTGAAACTAGTTTCTGAATTGATCTTAAACAAGCTTAATGTCGGAAAAATAGTCCAGTTATCATAAGTAATAAAGTTTTTAGAGCATGAAAGGAACAACTATGCATCACACAATGTGAATTGCACAATCAGTGGGTCGTTCATTGCTCTAACCTATTAGAAAACTTGTTCTTGATCATCTTTTAACTGTAGTGCATAACCAGTTGAGACATATGTCTTCATCATAATGAGCCACTGCATAAAACATTGTACAAACTTCCTAGAAAGTGTGTAGTGGGTACAACACTTCTACGAAACATAACGAACAATAGCATAGTGAATTCTTGGGTGGCGTTGTTAATATATCAAACCTTTAGTAATGTTTCAGTGAGAAGCAGTGCGAATATGCCCTGGACTCCCCAGGTTCACGGCAACCAATGTATTATGTTAGGAAGCACGCTTGCCAACACTCGTCTGTCGATTTTGCGTAATTACTGTTCAAACCTTTTTGAAGCTTTACAGATTACCGACTCGAAGAACAGAGTACGCGTTTATCAGTGACCCCGACTCCATCTTTCTCGCTCATCAGGCACAATTTTATACACATCAGACAATTTCTAAGAAAAAAGGAGATATCATAACTGCGGACAATAAACAGTAATTTAAACTAGTTCCTCAACCCGCAATATTAAGATGAAATATGACGAAACATTTTGCTGAAACTTCAAGTAGCAATCTATCAGGTTTTTCAATAATAATATCAAAATTCACCTGGCACATGCCAAAACAAATTATATAATAGCCACAGATGCTTCTGTGAACAATGAAAAGGCAGTTGTAGAAATTGCCTCTGATTACCTCGGGTGGTCTTTCTCAGAGAGCTTCCACATTCCCCGCAGGGGCGTCTGCGCAAGCACGCGTTTGGTGTGTAGCGACACCACGAACCCGAGCTGACGGGGAGGTTTCGATCTCCTCCCACGCCAAGCCGCGCGTGGCTGAGCTGTGTCCGGAGAAAAAGGGATCCAGGGAGTTGAGCAAACGCTGGGTGATTGGACCTTTAAGGCTCCCCGGCAGAGGCAACACACCCCTTTGGCCCCTGTTTCACGTAGACGGCTCCCCTGGGCTGATCCACCCAGGGTAAATCGGTAGTCGCCTTTTCCTATCTCTCTCCCCCTACATCTTCGTCTTTATCTCTCACTTTTCGTCTGTCCTGTCTTCTACTTTCTTCCGTTTACTTCCAAACTTCCTGGTGGCTAGGGTTAACTCTGTGCAAATAGCCTACCTTGGTCTAGGCGCATTGGTTTATATTTGCATTGTACGGCTGGCGTCTGCAAGTTTCAGCATGCGCTAACTTGTAGCGTCTCCTCGTTGGGCTCCGTAGTGGGTGGCCACCAATGCTTCTGCAGAAAATCAAACATTTATGCATAGAGCTTTTCCTCTGTTAAATGAGCGTACCGCCTTTAAGCGGGTACGCACCGATGACATAATTTTTTTCAGCCATCCAACAGAAAGATTTCCTCACTTCCATGTCATTCACTGTGAGAAAACTGCAAAGCAAGCCTCGACCGTATTTTCTTTCGTAATTGCCAGGTGTCTTTCCAAAACTCTCGGGGCTGGATACAAGGTAACCAAAATGGCCAATGGAGACCTCCTCCTCGAAGTTCGGGCAAAAAAACAATTTGCAAGGCTAGATGGCCTCTCATGACGTACCGATCACCATAACACCACAGAGATCAATAAAAATAACTTGCAGAGAAGTATCTGACAAAGACTTACTTGACCTGACAGAAACTGAACTTTTGGAGGGGAGGAAAAGCCGAAATGTGACTAATGTGCTGAGAGTTATCCTCAGAAGGGATAACAAAGAAACACCAACCAAACACTTAATACTCAATATTGCTTTCAGTAAACTGCCTGAATCTATTTAAACAGGGTACACGAAGACCTCTCTCAGACCGCACATACCAAACCCTCGTCGTTGCTTCCAATGCAGAGGTATGATCATGGCTCTAAAAGCTGTCGTGGTCGCCAGACTCGTATACAATGTGGAGTCCTGGGCCACGTGTCTGAGAACTGCAAACAACCGCTGCACTGTGTAAACTGTGAAGGAAACCATGCCACATATTCACGTTCTTGCACATACTGGACAAAACAAAGAGATACGTTGAATGGGAAAGAGAACATTTCATTTAAAGAAGCAAGAAAAAGGGTCTCAACATTCTATGGGCCAAATTATGCTGACGTGCCTCGTCACGGCGCGCCACCGTACCAGACCCCGTCACTCCTTCATCCCGCGCATAGTGAGCTGGCGGTTGTGGCACCTTCCCACAAGGCGGCTGTAGTCTAGACTACACCACCTACTGCTGAACAGACCCGGAGACCCCAGGGTCCTCAGGTCTCAAGGCTTCGCCTCACCAAGCGAGGCCCAAAATTCGAACTACCAGCTCGCACTTGCGGGCATCCAGTGCCTCTGGGGAGGCAATAGATGCATCGGCACCCTTGGTGCCGAAAGAGTAGTGTGGCACCTTGGAGCGCGCCAAGAAAACAAAAAAAAAACAGATAACAGGACCTGGTGACGGCCCTGTTACATTAACTCAAACTCCCTGTCTAAACAGCACTCGCTTTTTGTACACACAGCACTACTTCACATTCACCATGAACACTCAACTATACAATGGAACGTCAGGGGCCTTCTAAAAAGCCTCGACATTCAAGAACTTTTACAGGAACACTCACCAAAAGTGCTGTGTGTACAAGAAACACACCTCAATTCAAAACAACTAAGTTCTTCGTAAATACGTTATTTTCCGTAAGAAGCTGGATGATGCATTGACATCATCCGGAGGTGTTGCCATTATAGTAAATCAAGGGATTGCATGCACACACAGCTCCAAACGTCCCTGAAAGCAGTGGCTGTTCAAGCTGTTCTTTTTGGTAAACTGATCACACTTTGCACTATTTACATTCCTACAAGCTATCAGCTGCAAAAAACATGACTTACAAACTTTAATTGATGCATTTCCCGAGCCCTATTTTCTCCTTGGAGACTTTAATGCGCCTAGCAGGCTACGGGGTGACTCTCGTTGTGACGCGCGAGGTCGACTGAATGAACAGTTCCTTCTCTCATCGAGCGCCTGTCTTCCGAATAAAACTAACCAACCTATTATAATCTCGCCAGTAGTATTATTGGCGAGATTATAATACTCATCCATCGACCTAAGCACATTATCGCCGTCTCTTGTGTTTCTACTCCAGAGGAAAGTCAACAGTAATCCGTACGAAAGTGACCGCTTCTCTGTAGTTTTGAGCACAACTACAAC